AGCCAGAGGAAAAGCTGTGATTTATTTAGCTGTGGAGAAAAACTGGAAGAACTCCTGTTGCAATGCTTTAAATTATCTATACTGCAACAAAGTGTTGGGTGTCCCGTTAGGAAAAAACAAAACTCTCGGTATCAAAAGCCACTCTTCCTCCTTGCTCCCTCCAGAGGGTTACCTTGGGTTTTGGAGCTGTTTAGTCTACAAAACTGGAGTGTAGGTGAAGAATATATAAAGCTTGGGTATCATAGGAAGGATTCACTGCCTGAGTGATGTAGGTGCGATTGTAAATAGGTCGTTTCTGACCTCAAAAACCTGTCTAGTATTGTGTTATCTCACATTAGAAAGTGCCTCTGCTGTTGAGGCACCTAGGAAACTTAACATTATAACATTGTATTTTGCCATAACTGGTATGGTTAGCAGACAGTTGTTGAGATAGGACGTGGGAAATAGCAGCTGCATTGGATCCCTAGGCTTAACATCAAGTATGATAAGCCATTGTATGGTACTTCTTTTTAGGAAAAAAAAAGACTCAAACCCACTTCTAAGTTCCTTTGAGCATGGAGGAGGAAATTGGCAGGTTTTCACTTTCTTCTATGGGTATTAGATGAACAAAAGGAGTTTGTAACTCAGTGCTATTCATTGTCTTTAATCCATTGAAACTTTTTGGTTTAGGTTTAGTTTGTGATGATAGATGTCAGATTTAGGATAGACTCATTGTCTCAAAACTTTATAACTATAGTGAAGTTGTAGGATAGAAGATAAAGCACTTTTTTTTTTTCCTGTGGGATTTGCTTTTTAGTTTCTTATGTCATTTTGAACTATTACAGATACTTCATTCGAACCTTCTGTTGCACTGGCAAGTCTGGTGCAGCACATACCATTACAGATGATTACAGTACTCATCAGGAGCCTTACTACAGATCCAAACGTGAAAGATGCAAGTATGACTCAAGCTCTTTGCAGGTATTGTATTTCATTGTCTATTTTTTCTCATTCTTGTCTTTTTTGAAGTTATTTGTCACTTAGGTTCAGTAAATAAAAAAACTCAAAAACCATCAAAAAAACCACTCCTGTTTTAAAAGGGTATTCTAAGTTGTGCTGTTTAGCATGTTAAAGTAATGCATATTTACAATGCTCTGGATGTTGCTGGCATGATTCCAGTTTAAGGTTGCTGCCTTCATTTCTAATGTGGCTTCTTTCTCATGCTTTGCTAGGGTGGATGAAGAAAAGGGTTAAATAGAAACTAAGAGCAAGCCAGCTGTGTTCCTTTTAGATGACGTGTTATGTTTAGATCTCCCATCTTTGAGACATGGCGTAAATAGGAAGCTTCACGGGGTTTACAGCCAAGCTGAGAAACAAGGCCTTGTTTTCAGAAGATCAACCTTTCTGCTTTTCCAAGAAGCAGGGTGGCTCTCTCGCATGATTGTCTTGCCCATCGTCTCCTCTGAAGAGAGGAGATTCTTAGAAATTAGTTTTACTGCTTAGTTTTGAGGGTTTTTCTGCTTAGTATCTTCATGACTCTTTAGTAGGATTCACAGGGGACAGTCGCCTCTATTTCCATCTTCACTCAAGCCTCCAGTGGTTTTTTGGATGTTCTTTGAATAGTGAAAGAATAGGAATGATGTAAAAACAATTGTGTATTATGCTTCTTGTCACTCATCTGAACATGAATAAACACTGAGATTAGTAACCACTGTTAACAGACTGTGATTCAGATTGCAATCTTGGTTAGTGTCTTCAGATCTGTGAATAATAGTGGTGTAGAAAGATGACAGTGGGAGAAAGGTGAAGATCTTGATGTTTTTTACTTTTTTTTTTTGAAGCCTGTGGAAGAAGCTGTTATTGAGCACTGAAGGGTAGAAAAACGAGTAAAGCAGTTAAACAGGAGGCTCTTAGAAGTTTTTATTGTTTAAAAATAATAGTTTTAGAAATTCTTTTAACTAAAAGAATTGAATGTCTGCTATATTATTTTTTAACTACATCCGTCTGAGTGTAGTATAATACTTACACAATCATGTAGTGTACCACTTGTATATCTTGGTGACATACCCAGTTTTTTTCACACTGAAAACATTCCTTGTATGTACATTAAATTGAGAAGCTGTATTTCATTTGAAAACATACTTAATGAGAAGCAGCAGCATTAATACTGTAATTTGGGGTAAGACATACTGCCTAGGGACTTTAAAGGAATCTGCTTGACTGAACAGATTTTAACAAAGCTCTGCCCAATCTAAAATTGAAAGCTGGGAAATTGAGAGGATTTGTCCATGCTAATGATTTGCTAGTAATGTGCTGCTGATTAATTTTAACACTTACATTGTATTACCTGCTTCAACACAATGTGATTGTACAATTGTGGCTTTAGAATAGCTTCTCTCGATGCCTCTGCTTAGGGAATAATGCAGTGCTGAGCTTCAGGTGTAATAGGAGCTGTTATTATCACGTAAGTGCCCTTTCTTAATACGAGCCACGCGGTGGGTTTTTTCCTCTTGTTTTTGAAAGGGCAGTGCAATGTTACTCGCCTTATTCATTCTTTGAAGTAATACTTGATTTTATGAGCCTCTAGTTTTGTTCCATGGAACTAACTTTTTAGGTACCCCTTGTTATTTTTGTTTGTAGATACTCTCATGTCAACACTGTATCCAGTTTCTGCCTCTGGCAACCCTTTGCAGTAATTACTCTCTTCTGGCTTAGAGGAGTAATTGTAAAGAGGATAATGCAGCTGGAATGTCTGGAGCATCAAATGACAATGTCATCAGGCTTGCATCATTCCCAGGAGATGCAGAACTCCAGGCACAACAGGGTCTCCTGACGAGAGTCAGCAGAGCTTTGGTGACTGCAAATTAGAGACCTTGTTGCTCACCTCCTAAGGATGACTTTCATGACACTTCAGAGTCTGTCTGAAGTTGAGCACAAATAATCTGTAACTAAAAGACTAATAAATTTAATCTGTTCAGTGGGGGGTTATATTAGGCACGGGTTTGTATAAGAAAGGGTGCTTGCTTTTTGGCATCATTGAGCTGTTCTTAATTGGCTCAGCTGTCTCATGAAACCTTACCCGAAAGAAAAAGCAGAAAATTGTGGAAACTCTTCTGGGATATATGACTACTTTCAGGGTCTATTTCAGAGCTTTCAGAGGAAGTTGACTGTCTATACTCAGTATCCTGATAAGTGTAATGCTTGTTTGCACTTTAACCCAAGTATGTTTGTTAAGAGAAACTGAAAATTTTGCTAAGAAAAAACTCCAGACATGACCAGGCCCTTTGCCCTCTTAGTAAAAATGTAAAATACTGTATAAGATGTTAAATTTTTTTTTTTTGGGGGGGGTGCCTGGTAGTCTGAGGATCTTCTGTTGTTGGTTTTTTGGGTGGGGTTTTTTTCTAATCTGAGGGATTTGCACCCGAGCTGCCAGATTCTTTGTCTGATGTGGCTAAGAAGATACTTTTGTGAAAGAAGTTACTGTCTGAGGTTGCACAGCTAATATTTTTTTTTTCTATCCAGAGATACCGGAATTACTGTCCTTGTTAGGCACATATAGATAGCAGACCTGCTCATTTTAGGGTGATATGAGGCAGAGTGTCTCCTTGAGGCCTCTAAGGTTCTCTTAATCTGGTCAAACACAAAAAACATCCTCTGTATTTTTACTATGATCATCATGTCCCGTATTTTTATCTGTCTGTATTAAAAATGCAGTCATTGATTGCAACAGGGCAGGAGCCAAGTGAATGAAATGCAGGCAGAATTTAGTAACCACAATGTCTACTCTTAACTTGCCAGATCTCATATTTGATGCTTTTTAGGGCAGTCTCGAGCATGTCTGCAAATTTACTTCTGTTTCCTCTGCTGGCTTTTGCTTCTGCTTTCAAGAGCAGAAACAGATTTTAAGGATGGGAATTCTATCTGTATCAATTATACAGAGAATGAGGCTTCTTTTTACAAGGTTAATCATACTGAAATGATAGCTGTTGTCTTATTAGTAACAATGTCGAATAGTTTAGTAGTTAATTATACTGACTAGAGATGATGGCCCATCACATAACCAGAGCAATGGGGTGGAACACAGGGTGCCCCAGCTCCCACCCAAAAGCACTGGTTTTCATTTGAAGTTTGTATGTGAGTGTGGTTGAAAGTACACATAGTATAAAGATGGTAATCAGATATTTTAGGACGTTGGTTCTGAAGCAGGGGTCTACATAATACTCTTTACTTGTCTAAAAAGTTAATTAAGAAAACCAAATATATTGTCATTACGCTTAAATTCACTGTGCAGGTGTTGTGCCACTGCTGAAAAATACCAAGCCTATAAATTGAGGTGGAGGGGGAAGGGATGTGGTGCTGAAGATGATAGGACTATGAGGTTTGGGACCTGTTCTTTGCAGGCAAAAGCAGTTTTGGCCTACTTTTTTTAATCCCCATTTTAGAAAGTATATGGAAATGGTGCTCAGAATAATCACGTTTGAATTTCACATCTTGAGGAAATGAGATATTTGTGTAAATTCAGAGCAATGATTATGATGTTGCCATGTATTTTTCCCAAGTTTTTTTTGTAGTGACATGGAAGAAACAAGTAAGATCTGTGCTTTATTGTTAAAAAGGCTGTCCTAATGATTCCTTATTTTAGAGAAACCTTTGAATGTTATATGTGCAGATACTACATAATTTAAGATGTATAAATTTTAGAATGTGTGCTATACAGTTTTCAGATCCAGATTATAAACTCTATGTAAATTTTAGGTTGTTTGTGGTATTACAACATGGCCAGAATGCATGTCTGGTGTTGGCAAAGACTGAGGTTTTCTCTTTAGTTTGGAGTCTCAGGACTGAAACCTTGATTTCAGTCTGTTTGGAAGAACATAAGGGCTGATAGTTTTGCTTCACGTTGATAAACATGAACTATGCCTATCTGTAGTGATAATAACTGTTTATAAGACTGGTTACTTGTAACCTATTCAGTTCTGTGCTAGAATTTAGCCTCTTAAAAGAATTAATCTTTATGAAGAGCTTTTTCAGACAAGAAGTAAAGAAAGATACTTCTGACTTCCTGTTCTCATTGAATTATAGAATTGAATCACGGCATTACATAGATTGAGTGAAGCCTTTGGAAGTCATCTGGTCTAACCCTGCTCGAAGCAGGGCCGGCTTCAAAGTCAGACTTTGTTGCTCAGGGCCGTGTGCAATCGAGTTAAGGGCTTTCTGCAAGGATGGAGGTGCCTTGGCCTTTCCATATAACTTGCTTCAGTGTCGGACTACCCTTGTGGTGAAAAATTTTTCCTCCACTTAATTAGTGGTGCCTCGTTGGTTTGAAGAAGGCGATCTTGCAGACAATTAAACAAAATCCAAAATATTGCCAAGTAAAATCTAAGAACGACAAAGCCTAAATTTCATGGTTTAGCTGGTACTGCCTGATGATATTGTCTGTGTTTTAGAATTGCTTCAACTATCTGCCTGTCTGCCTTAAGTATCAGTGTAAATTGCCTGTTAATTTAGAAGGATAGAATACTCCTATTTTCCATTGCTGATTTTTCACTATATTTTCTAGGAAGGGATAAAGTCCCTTCACTTTTCCTTGTTGTTAGCTGTAGTGAGATTCTTCCCTGTGGGGCATGTGTAGACCCCAGGCTGTTGATAGCTATTATGAGATCCCTATAACACCTGCTGCAGTGTATTTAAACACCTGCTGCAATGTATTTAAAATTAACTAGATTTTACCTTTTTAACTGAGAGTATTTGAGTTGAACTCCAGGAATGTAGTTCTAAGTTGAAGAGGCTTCCTTTTCAAATTTATACTTAATAGTTGGTTTTGGTCTGGGCTGGGGTAAAAGGTGTAGGAGGGGAGGTTCCCAGGTACAGGCACTTTTTCACCTTCAGTAGTAAGTTTTTGCCACAAAATAAAGATGTTAGCTTAATGTCTGTAGAACCAGCATTCATATTCTTAAATAGCAAGTAGCAATAATATACATAATATTTAATTTTATATGCTTATGTATTTGGGGGTTGTCTGTATTTACTTCTAATGTATTAAACAGATCATTATTAATCAGAGTTAAATGACTCTAGATGTAATCAAAATAATTTTACTACTTGCCTAACATTCTCGCATTACTACTCGTGTGTCTCTGTATAAGTGTGTGACATCTGGGTAAGACAAAGAATCTTTTCATTGAGATGAAAATTAGTGGCATATTGGTATTTTTTGTTTTGTTTTTATTTCTTTATTTTTCATTAATCTTTCAGAATGATTGACTGGTTGTCCTGGCCTCTGGCTCAGCATGTGGAAACATGGGTGATTGCACTGCTGAAAGGGCTGGCTGCTGTCCAGAAATTTACCATCCTCATTGATGTCACTCTGCTTAAGATTGAATTGGTATGTTGGAAAAGAACACTGAAAAGTGAAGGAGAGGGAAAGGAATTTGTAACAGCTATGCAATTGCATTGCATCTTTTGTAGTTTAACAGATATTACCTTATTGTTCTGCTAAGATGATGTAAATGTATCTATAGCTTTAAGTTGCGTGTAGTGATTCTGTCTGTTTCAAATGGTTGTGCATTTGGAGATCTCTTTACGTTTTTACTGAAATTTCACTTTCTAGATTTACTGAAATAAATGTGGGTTTTTTTAGGTCTTTAATCGACTTTGGTTTCCTCTAGTGAGGCCTGGTGCCCTTGCTGTCCTCTCCCACATGTTACTTAGTTTTCAGCATTCTCCAGAAGCTTTTCATTTGGTAAGTTACTAAATAAATGGTTTTCAGTTCTTTGAAATGTCATTCACATGTGATTTTCTAAAGTGGGTGTAAAGAGTAACAGAATTGATGTGCTCGGATTTCCTCCTTGTTTCAAGGTTTCAGAATCAGATTTCTGTGGTTTTATAGGCCACTAGGCTTTCTAACTTCCAGGTTCAACCACTTAATCTGTAACTGGAAACAAGCGTTGTTCTTCCTGGTATGTAGACCTTTCTGGCCATAGTGTCTGGGTACTGCATTCTGTCTTTGACTGTGTACTTCTGGAAATCCATTTTATGTGTTGTGACATGTACCGATAAAGTTGAGCTGCAAGCAGACTGTCAAGTACAACTATTTGGGGAAAACGGGTAACAGACTATCTGCTATATATAACCTAGTCACCCTGGATAGGTTCATGAGATGCAAAACCACTTCACTGAAGAAAACGGTGCTATCTATGTTTCAGTGTACGTACGGACAAACAGAAGGATACTGGTTTTAATGGCCACTCTTCAAAGTGCAGTTCACCAGTTAAAGTGATTAGATACTAGGGTATGACGATGACTGTTCGTATTAGTGCAGCAAGATGTATAGTACCTTCTCTGTTCTCATACTTGGTGTTTAGCTTAAAGTTTAAGGGTCTTTGAGACTTAACCGTAGTAACAGCCTGGCATGCTGTTTCTCTATGAGGTCCCCAAGGCTCCTAGGACTGAAGGGATGGGATCAGTGTCAGAGTAGTTGCCTTATGCCTGTTACACTGCTTTTTAATGATAGAAGTCTGAAGTTTCTCTCTCCTCCCTCTGCTGCCCTAATCTTGGCCTAGGATAGAAATTTGAGTCACAAATGAAAGAGCCAAGTAGTCTTGAATATGCTCAAAACGTAAATATTTAATATATTTACTGTCTTGCTTTTCTTCTTTGTTCCTGAGAGAGACAAAACATTCATGAGAAAAATGTAAAATATGAGAAGACTTCTAGAAACAGGCATTTGCTTTAACAAGGAAAACTTCTACAGTAGGCTGTGTGCAGTATTGCATAAATATCTTTAGGACTTCATTGTGACCATTTTCCCTCCATTTTAGATAACCTCCTTCACTGTCATTTTTTGAGCTGCTGCTGTCATTTAGTATCCTATAATATTTTCTTGCTCTTAAACTACTTGTTTACTTTTTTATAATAAATGGTCAATGTAAAATAGTTAAATGCACATTTGATAAATATAAATTAATTTATTTTGTAGTGCATCTGAGTTAACATTCCCCTTCCCCATGCTTGAGCATCATTAGCATAAATTACTTGCATTTTTTATAGAAGAAAAACACTCTGTCTTGCACTTACGATGTAGAACTTACCGTGATGTATACTATGGAATTCTAAAATCTACTGATGTATAAATTTTAATATAGCCTCAAGCCAGAATTGATACTTGTGTATGTATTTAAAGTGTAACTTTCAGTATTATGCAGCATGCTGTAAGTAAGAATTTGGCTCTCAGTTTGAGAGAGCTGAGAACCTGTCCTACTTCTATTCTTCCCCTGTGCTTTGGCTGTTCAAAATTATCACATCTCAGATCTACTTTATACAAATCTCATTCCTGAAGCTCAATAGTTACTTTCTCATTGCTATTTATAAAGTGAAAGAGGGAAATTTTTCATTGCAACTTTCACTGTTGACTCTGTAATATGCTGAACACTTAATCTTGGTGTTCTCATTTTTAAACAGTGGATATCTTGCTTACCAAAAGAGCAGGGTTTGTTTCTCAGAGATGTAAAAATATTCCTTATGCTTGGATAACAACTGATATTTGAAAAAGTGGCAAATGAGTATTTTGCACCTGGCCCCTTTTACTTTGGTGTTTTGAAGTATTTTAATTCTTGCAATTGGTATACTTCCCTAAAATTATGATACTCTGACAATTTCTGTTCTGTATTTCATGTATTTACTACCAAGCAATTTGTAAGCTAATTTGTGATGAGAAATTAGTCCATCCACTTTCACAGTTAATCCATTTTGATCACTTGGAAGCTGACAGAGTAATCTAAAATACTTTGGTTCTCAGTGGTTAGTCCCTACTCTCTGGGACTGCATTGAAATAACTTTCTGTTTGGTGTTTTAAGACTAATATAAAAAGTATAAATGCATTTAAAAATACAGAGCTGCGCTGAAGGGGAAGGAGGTGGAGTAAACATTTCTGATCTATACCCAATTTAAAATAGTAATGAATCTCAACTGATCCTCAAATAGATTACAGTATATGTGGTAAGCTTTTTTTAGCTCACAGTAAGTTACTGTCTTGGTTTATTGAGCCTAGCTCCCTCACTAGGTGGAGCTGTGAGCCAGTTTGTCTTGTAAACTGAAATAGCATGAATGTATTCATTGGCTTCAGATCCCAAGCACTAAATGCTGTTTAAGCATAGTTGAGAGGTTTGTTTTAAAAACTATATCCGTAAAATTAGAACAGGATACTGCACTGTTAGTGGTGGCACAAAAGCAAAATGTTTACTAAGTGTATACTAAATAGGATGAGTACTTTGGACACCTGACTGTTTAAAATCTTAACATGTATTTTCTAAGTTCAAAAAGTTCCAAAACTTGATATGTGAGCTAAAGACTGCATTGAATAATTGTGATGTTTGAAAATTGTCATGAGTGAAGAATAATGCATGTTTTTCAAGTCATTGTTTCGCAAACACTTATTATTAAAGAACAAAAAAACTCCTGTCATTTAGCATGTGTAAAACAGTTAAGTTGTTCGTAGAAGAAAAAAAAATCTGGAAAAATGCAATTAACACCTTTTTTATTTGTTGTTTTTCCCATTCAGATTGTCCCACATGTAGTCAGTTTGGTTCATTCCTTCAAAAGAGATGGCTTACCTTCCAGTACAGCCTTTTTGATGCAGTTGACTGAGCTGATACACTGTATGATGTACCATTATTCAGGATTTCCAGAGCTCTATGAACCCATTCTGGAAGCTGTTAAGGTATATTAGGAATATTAAGAGGGTGGAATGTTTTTGTTTTGTTTTTCCCGAATATGAAAGCTATAATACCATAGATCTATATTCTTTAGAAGTTCTGCTAGGAGAAAAGAGCTAACCACACAATCTAATGTCCATTCTAACTCTATTTGGAATATGCTAGAAAAATTGTCCTGAGTGTCCGGGGTATGATTATAGCAGGCTTTAAGAAAAGACTGAAATGGGATCCTTCATTAAAAGTACAATCTACTTTCTTAAGCCTAGTGTAACTATTAATACACTTTTGTGAGGTTTATTCTAGGCATTTCATTTCAACCCAAGCTAGAAACTGTAGCTCTTCAAACACAAGTTCAGAGCGCTGATAGCATTGAAGAGAAGTAGGTTCTGAGGACTACTTGGCATGGTGTTATCTTTGGCTAGCTCCAAAACACCATTATTAACACCATTATTAAGCACTACATCTTAATACTGCAGTCAGTATTGTGTGCCTCTGTGAGTAAAGAATGCTCGTCTATGCTGTTTCAATGCAAAATTTGGCTTTTTAGATAAATATTTAAGTGCATGCACTTTAAAGTGAAAAATAAATAAAAACCAAAAGCACCCCAAAACTAGTAAAATGAAATTGCGGGGGGAAAAAATACAAAACAAAATAAACCCACAAAAAACCACTCGGGTATTACTGCCTGTTTTTACAGCAGTAGTATTGCAGTTAAATATTTTGAGGCTTAAAAACCCCTCTCGATTTAATTCCAAGTATTCTGGACTTTATTCTTTCATTCTTACATTTTGATTTGACAGAACAGGAATGTTATTTCTAGCAGAACAGAGGATGCTTTAGGGGTCTATTAAAGCTTGAAATTTGAGAGGTAGTTTTTGGTGGCAGAAAGGATTCTGTGAATATGCAGGTCAAAGGTGACCACCAGCCCCTTATTCCTGCAGTTTGAGAGTTGAGCGAAGAAAGCTTTGAAGAAGAGGGCTTGGGGGCAGTTGTACCTTCTAGGCTATCGGGGTAGCAAGACCCTGAAGAAGAATACGGGAGCAAGCGAAGACATAAGACTGCAGAATGGCAGGACCTATTATATAAAATATTACAAAAACCTATTAAGTGTGTTAAATGTTTCTCTTGTAGGATATGCCCAAACCCACTGAAGAGAAGATTAAGTTGGTTCTCAGTCAAAGTGCCTGGACTTCTCAATCCAGTTCTTTGCCATCTTGTTTATCTAGACTTTCTGGAAAATCTGAAACTGGGAAGACAGGTCTAATTAATCTAGGAAATACTTGCTACATGAACAGTGTTATTCAGGCACTCTTTATGGCTACAGAGTAAGTCCTTTTTAACAGCTCTCTTCATTGCAAATTAACTATTGCAGTGGTTACATTCTTGCTTTTCACATGTCCTGGGGGGGCTCAGCTTGCTAGAGCTGAGTGGGTTTCTTTGCGCTCAGTTACTGATTGCTTTGTTAACGTCCAGCTCTGTGAAACTGCAATCTTAGCCATTAAAAATCCCGATCCTTCTGTCCAGTGTCAAAACACAAGTCCCTTTTCCTCACTGTTCTTGCTCTCTTTAGTATTGTAGAAGTTTATGGTGATGCTTTTGTTATAATCTGGAAGCTCTTGAAAAAAAAATTGTCTTTCTATGGCCCATTCTTACATATTTAAATGCTTAAAGAAATAGGTTTTCTGCGGTGTTAGTTCCTACTGTACAGTAGTTTTGCATCTGTGCTAGAGCAGAATCCAGATATTGAAGGGAAGTGTTACATGTTTTGCTTTCTTTCAAATTGATGTAATTATCTGAGCTGGAATAACTGCATTGCTGTTAGAAATCTAGCAAGGAAACTAATGTGTATCTGTGTTCTTTCAGTTTCAGAAGACATGTTTTATCTCTGAATCTAAATGGGTGTAATTCACTAATGAGAAAATTACAGCATCTTTTTGCGTTTTTGGCCCATACCCAGGTATGTCAGTTTATTTTATCTGCTGTTTTTTAAGCCTAGATCTATATACAAAAATTTAGGAACAAATGTGATGCCATGGGAGTCCCCTTGATTATATTAAAAATGATAGATTTGTAGGGGAATGAGTTTGCCTCCAAATGTTCAGATGGTGTGGTTGGACTTAATGAAACCTGTATTTCGTAAGTGGAACATCTTGGCATTTTTTATAAATGGGCAGTAACAAGTTTTCTTTGAGAAGCCAAAATGAAAAAATCCAAATAAGACCTGATTTGATAGACAAGCTGACTTTATGTAACTTTCTAGGATAAACTGTGACTTTCTGCCATGATTTTTACACTGAATTTTCTTGTAGTTCAAATTCTAAAGTGAACTGTGTTAAATGTTCAGAATATTTTGTTAGTGCTAGAAAGACATAAGACACTTTTGTTCTCTTTGATTAATCATAATAAACTTGTGAAGGGAATGAGGCTGGATCACCTTAAAAATAAATTGGTACTTATGAAATACTGGTGGTGTTTGAAAAAGTTTTCTTTTTTCAGAGCTTGCCAGCAAAAACAGTAACTGCTATTACGCATAACATCTGGTTTACACTCACTACACATTTAATATTTGCCTGCAGGATCCACCAGTTTTATCTTTGTACTAGAGGTGATTACTACAAAATTAATGGTGCTTTCTTCCTATGATTAAGTGGTTTAAATGTTTATATGTATCATGTGTTTCATACAGTTCCTCTAGAATAACATAGTCCAAAGTTCAGTGGTCAATATCAAAATAATATAACCAATTTTTTAAGTAGTTCTTATGTAACCTTGTCTGTCCCTCTCCTACATAAACAGAGGGAGGCATACGCTCCTAGAATTTTCTTTGAGGCTTCCAGACCACCATGGTTCACCCCTCGATCCCAGCAGGATTGCTCAGAATATCTCAGATTCCTGCTAGACAGGTACAGTTATTGTGCCATTAATGGGAATGAATCTACAGTCTTATCACATAAAGTTGAACTTGTAGGAGCAGTCATGTAACATTTCTTCTGCATGAGTGGGGACTAGGAATTTTGCACCTCATTCCTGGCTGTCTCTTGTTTTCTGTATAATCTGTGAAACACTTTTCTTCATGGGTTTAATCTGTGGTAAGGTCTGGATACCATCTTGTATCCACATCATTTAAAGCAGGTTATAGTGGTAGTAATGTTCTATGTTTACAAATCTAAACTTGGGTGTTACGTTAGACTCGTGGTGCCGTTGTAAAATTAATGTGGTTGCTGAAAGTAGTTCAGTCGTGCATCTGGAATTTCATGTTAGTGGTGGTGACAGTTATGTTTCATACAGGTCAGATAAGACATGAAGATGTGCACATGCATTTACAACTGGTTTAATAAACAAGCAAGTTAGCTGTAGCACACATAAACCAAAACCACCTAAATTTAGTAGTAGCCCTCTTTAATTTTGTCTTGCTGAGATGTGGCTTAAGCAATATTGCTTTTTGACACATTCCACTTCTGGCAAAGTTCATCTCAATAGTGAAATAGTGTTCTCCCCTCCGCTCCCCATCTTGGGTTTCTTTTTTCGTTTGGCTTTTCTTGCCGTAATTTCTTAACTTCCTTGGCTACAAAATCCTGACCTTTTCTTTTCTTTGGAAATAGTCTGGCACTAGATAAATTGCTACTTGTTCTCTTAAAAAATCTGACACACAGAACCAATCAACTGGAGAACTGATCTATTAAGATAATGTAATGATAAATAACAAAAATGGTGTTGGTTTAGGTGTTTTTAATACTTACCAATTCTCTCAGTATATCCATAGTGTTCTGTTATAGTGAAACCCATGTGAAATGCATTTGTGCTTCTCTCACACTCTGTTTTGGATAGCACTGGACCTGTATGCTTCAGCTTGCTTATATAAAAATTAACAAATAGCTTTTTTTAATGTAAGATGCTTCTACCCACTTAACCATCTATGTTTTTTAGCATATCTGCAAAAAAGTCTGAAATGGTGCAGCCGTATCTGTTTGGAAAATAGTACAGCTACTTGGATTTATTTTTCTTTGTCTTCAGGCTGCATGAAGAAGAGAGAACCTTGAAAGCATTGTCTTCAGCAAAGACTTCTGAAAGTATAATGAATGAAGAGTCCCAGGCACAAGAAGCTGTCCATAAAGCACAAATACTTGCTGAAGCACCTTGTATGGGAAGTGAAGAAAGAACTCTGATAGAGAAGATGTTTGGAGGAAAACTGAAAACTACTATATGCTGTTTGAACTGCAAAAGTATGTCTCAAAAGGAAGAAGCTTTCACAGATCTCTCTCTGGCTTTCTGTCCTCCAACTTCCTTGGAGAACGTTGGCCCAAAATGTGTGGAACGTTCTGAAGTGAAAGGCGACTACATGGTGCAAACTAATACTTTAGCAACTAGTCCTGCTGGAGAAGCACCTCTCAATAACTCTGAAGTAAATGATGGCTGTGACACAGTAATGAATGAAGGAACCATGAAAGATTTCTCTGCTGAGCCAAACTCTGAGAATACCACAAATTCTGAACTCAACAAAGTTCAAGATAATAGGGATATGCCTCAGAGGCTAGTAGGTAAAAACACCCTGTCAGTTACAGACTTACTGAATTATTTTCTGGCACCTGAGATCCTCAGTGGAGACAACAAGTATTATTGTGAAAAGTGTGCCTCTCTACAGAACGCTGAGAAAACTATGCAAATCATTGAGGAACCTGAATACCTCATTCTCACTCTTTTGAGATTTTCATATGATCCAAAGTGTCATATAAGGCGCAAAATCTTGGACAATGTGTCTCTGCCACTTGTTTTGGAACTGCCAGTCAAAAGAGCAACGTCCCCTCTAGCTGTCGTTTCAGGAGGTTGGTCTGTTGGTGTTGAGATTTCTGATTTTGGAGAAAACCTTGCTAAAAAACTGAAGCCCTCAGGTGCTGATGAAGTGACCTGCCCACAATTGGTGCCCTACATGTTAAGCTCTGTGGTAGTGCATTCTGGTGTGTCATCTGAAAGTGGACATTACTATTCATATGCTAGAAATGTTACTGGGTCAGGGCCTTCAGGACTCTGCCACCAGTCTACAGCTCTTCCTTTAGTTTTTCCTCAGGATAAGTTGTTGACAGAGGAGAGCCCTTGTACTGTTGTAGAAAATGAGCTGGACACTGAGATGCCAAGAGAATGGTTTCTGTTCAATGACAGCAGAGTGACATTTACCTCATTTCAGTCAGTCCAGAAAATTACCAGTAGATTTCCAAAGGACACTGCTTATGTTCTGTTTTACAAAAAACAAAATAGCACCTGTGGCTTCAACACCAATTCGGCAAATGGACTCTGGGTAAATGGAGACCCTCCCCTACAAAAAGAACTCATGGAGGCAGTTACGAAAGATAACAAACTGTACTTGCAGGTAAGATGGAAATTGTATATGAAGAATGGTCTCCTTAAAACTCACAAGAGACAGTCTAAAAGGAAGAAAAAGTTAGCTTTTGAATATTCTGGTATATTAACCTTATAAATGGCCAATCTCACTTCCATCTTGATACTGGTAGACAGATTTCATAGTAAGGTTGTCACTGTTAGATGGGAAGCATTAAGGAAAATGGCTTAAACTCATTACAGTTCAAATTTTTAGTGGAGATGCTTGCATAGGTCATTTAACCACTTGTAATTCTATGCAGGAGAGGCTTTTCAAACAATTCTAATTTTCATTGCCTTTAATAAATTACAAGAGTAGATAAAGCATACTTAACTTCTTAGTGGTGTTCTTACTAGTCCATTTTCATTTGAGGTGAAGTTTTATTTATACAACTGTACTTACCCAAATGCTAGAACCGTTTAAATGAAGACCAGGTGCTAGTGGCTAGATTCTGCTTTCCCTTTACTGCCTATTCTGCCTCCCTCTGTGGAACCAGTATGGCCAGCCGCACATTCCCTGTGCTCTGAGAGTTTCACCCAGCTGCAGTCACCTCTTCGATTGCTGTTATAAAAAAAACCACTGTTCTCCACATTTCGGTGTGATTTTCATGAGTGTTGCTGCTGTGTTTGGAAGGTGTAACAGTGAGTGTGTTTTACTGTGTGCTCTTTGATGGGTTAAACTGTTCTGTAAGAGTTCTAGGCCTACTCAAATTAGAAAAATTAGGTAACTTCAAATTAGGAAAGAACAGCTGAATCTCACTGTGGAAAAAGTGTTACAATAGCTGCAGGTATTTTACAAACATAAACAAGAGAACTGAGAGTCTAAATTGCAACTCTGCTATTTTCAGAATGTGTGGTTAAAGCATTTGTGTCCTAACTATCTTTGTTTATATGCCAGCTCCTCTTGACTGTATAGGATAGCACAAAACATGTTGTCTTTGCCAGCAATCTCAGATCATAGAACAGTTTGGGTTGGAAGGGACCTTTAAAGGTCACCTAGTCCAACCTGCCCTGCAGTGAGCAGGGACATCTTCAGCTAGGTCAGGTTGCTCGGAGCCCCATCCAGCCTGACCTTGAATGTTTCCAGGGATGGGGCATCTATCACTTCTCTGGGCAACCTGTTCCAGTGTTTCGCCACCCTCCTCATAAAAAATGTCTTCCTTGTATCTTGCCTGAATCTACACTCTTTAAGTTTGAAACCATTACCCCTTGTCCTGTCATGACAGGCCCTGCTAAAAAGTTTGCCCCCATCTTTCTTAGAAGCCCCCTTTAAGTACTGAAAGGCTGCAATCAGGTCTCCCCGCAGCCTTCTCTTCTCCAGGCTGAACAAGCCCAACTCTCTCAGCCTGTCTTCACAGGAGAGGTGTACCATCCCTCAGATCATTTTCATGGCCCTCTTCTGGACCCAGTCCAACAGGTCCATGTCTTTCCTGTGCTGAGGACTCTAGAGCTGGATGCAGTACTCCAGGTAGGGTCTCGCCAGAGCAGAGGGGCAGAATCACCTTCTTGACCTGCTGGCCACACTTCTTTTGAGGCAGCCCAGGATATGGGTTGCTTTCTGGGCTGCAAGCACACATTGCTGGCTCATGTCCAGCTTTTCATCCATCGGTACCCCCAAGTCCTCCCCTGCAGGGTTGCTCTCAACCCCTTCATAGAATCATAGAATTGTTTATGTTGGAAAAGACCTTTAAGATCATCAAGTCCAACCATTAACCTAACACTGCCATCCCACCACTAAACCATGTCCCTAAGCACCTCATCTACCCTTCTTTTAAATACCTCATCTTCCAATCTCTATTGATACTGGTGGTTGCCCTGACCCAGGTGCAAGACCTTGCAGCTGGCCATGTTGAACCTCATGAGGTTCACATGGGTCCACTTCTTGAGCTTGTTCAGGTCCCTCTGGATGGCATCCTGTCCCTCAGGCATGTCAATGATACTACTCTGGTGTCATCTGCAAACTTGCTGAGGGAACTCTCAGTCCCACTGTCTGTGTCACTGATGAAGATTAAACAGTACTGGTCCCAGTATGGACCCCTGAGGGACACCACTCGTCACCGGTCTCCATCTGGACATTGAGCTGTTGACCACAACCCTCTGGATTGCAACCATCCAACCAATTCCTCATCCACCAAACAGTCTACCCATCAAATCCATATCTCCCCAATTTAAAGGGAAGGATGTTGTGAGGGACCATGTCAAAGGCCTTACAGAAGTCCAGACAGATGACATTCTTAGCTCTTCCCTCATCTGCTGATGTAATCACTTCATCATAGAAGGCCACTAGGTTGGTCAGGCAGGACTTGCCCTTGGGGAAGCCATGCTGGCTATCTCAAATCACCTCCCTACCCTCCATGTGTTTTAGCATAGCTTCTAGGAGCATCTGTTCCATGATCTTCCCAGGTGAGGCTGACAGGTCGGTAGTTCCCAGGGTCTTCCTTTCCACCCTTTTCAAAAATGGGTGTGATGTTTCTGTTCTTCCAGTCCCCAAGCACTTCACCTGACCACCATGACTTTTCAGATATTATGGAGAGTGGCTTGGCAGCTACATCAGCCAATTCCCTCAGGTCTCTGGGATGAATCTTGTCAGGTCCCATAGGTGTTCAGGGGCCTCAGGTGTTCACAAACCTGACCTTCTCTGATAGTGGGAGAGGGACTTCGCTCCCCCGGTCCCCATGTTGCAGTTCGTCTACTCGAGAGGTGTGGGAAGAGAGGTTGTCAGTGAAGACTGAGGCAAAAAAAGTTGCTGAGCACCCCAGTCCTATTCATTGCGGGGATAGTAGCTTCTTGAAAACCTTTATAAGTAAAACAAAAAAAACCCCATATGGTTTCCTCAAAATGAAAAAAAAAATTTCCAAGTGTACAGTTTTTGTTTGGTTTTTAGGGAGTTTTGTGTGTGTGTGTTTTAAATTTATGATCTTTTACTCACCTTTCCATTTTGGATCCTTTGGTGTTGGCTTTCTTAGTAGTACTCTACTAATCTCAGAGTTGTTGAGATCCTGTCCTTATCTCAATTTAAATGAGGCTGATTAGAAATGCTCAGTTACTGTTTTTCTCAAATGAATAGTAATATTATGATTCACTGAATTAAGTTATCATATTTTGAGAAGTCACATTTCATTGTTATTCAGAGTTCTAAACTAGTATTTTCCTACTAAGTTAAAGATATGCTTTTCTGTCCTGAGGAAGCCTTTACTTTTTAGAAGAAATGTGCAAAAAAATCTCTAGGTTACTGCTTTTGTTTTACTATTGCATACCAGTTTACCACATGGTAAATGAAAATGTTTTCATTTTAAATAACAAAACCTGCAATATGGGTAGCTCCCACTCCAGTTAAAACAAATTTTAAAATCCCATTCTGGGAAAAAGTGGAAGGCAGAGATGGATGCTATGCATTATTCTCAGTCCAGGGAACTGTATTGATGATCAAGTTTTACTTACCTGATTCAATATTTGTTGGGATAAATATAATGGGCCTGAAAACATTCAGCATTTTTTTAAAAACAAGGCTATTTCTTGCAAAAATGCCAGTTCTGTATGCTATGCTAGAACAATTTAATGTAGGTTGGTATTAATCAAGTCAATATATGCCTTGAGAAAAGAAAGAAATATGCTCAGTTAGCACAAACTACTGAACACAAATAAAGCATGAAATACCTTAAACTGCTAAATAATTTCACTTTTAGCATTGAAGGCATAAATAGTGTGTGGTTTTTTTAATACTAATACTATGTCAAGGAACTTTGATAATTTGATTACTGCTCTGTATTTCTCCTGTGTGTGTCCATGTATATAGTTACACCTTCCATTCATTATAGAAAATGTTTTGTACACAGTAGCAATGAAGTTAAGATCCCAGCTGAGGTTTATCCTGTTCTCAGTGCATTTTTCTGAACAGTATTTTGAAGTGGTTGACAAAAGCTGTGCTTGCAGCTCACTTACACTCTGTACCAAACACAACGTGCATCTCCAGAGCTGCAAGAGCCATCCCTTGCACATAAGGCCTGTGCAAGGTACTGTGGTGTTGCTGTTCATAGTAGTGCTTCTCCTCTTGGCTCGGCTCCTCTCTGTAAGGAAGCCTAGTGACAGTAGAGCAATCACACTGTTACTACGGTACTGTGAAAGGTATGTAACAGAAGACATATATAAAGTAATGTAGCTGCATAGCTGTGCCAAAACCTCATGTTATCCAGTAACTGCAGAAAGGCAAATTAAAATAAATTGTGTTTCTAGCTAAATCTGGCAAAAAAAAAAAAATCTTTTTGTAAGTCTCTAGTATTCTTTTTGTCTACGATTTTAAGACTTTTTATTTAATATAACATGATCTACAAACCTATTGTGGATGCTTATATTCTTTTATAGTACAGTTTGTTAGGTAAAACTCAACCACTGGGGTTTAAGAGGTATAAAGTTGCCAGAAAACAGTTCTTTAGAGGGATGACAGGTAAAGAAAAGTAAAGAAAACTCCATTTTTTGTTTGGTACTGTGCTGCATTAGAACAAACATTTTTCTGAGACATTTTACCAAAAAAAAAAAAACTAACCCACCAACTCAGGTACTGTGTAACGAGTCTCCCACCGTTTGGTTTTGAGAAGAAATTCTGTTCCAAGCTGAACAGTTTTGCAGTGTAGTTTTTCAACTAAACAGGCTTATTTATACAAGGCCTGCTGTTTTAATCAAAATTTTCTGTTGATTTCTGGTACTAGAAGTGAGTTCTTCATATTCCCTTGTTATTCCTAGTAAACTTCCTTAGTTTTTGATGAGTCTTATAGTTAGGAGACATAGAAGAATCTACGTACTGCTGGAGATAGCATAACACTGTCTTTCAAGAATATGGCCAGCATATTGATGTAGACCATGTCATCTGAATATCTTTTATATAATTTTGGAAATGAGTATGCATTTCAGTCCTCAGTAATGTAAAATAGCTTCAAGCTGTGTTTTTTCTGAGAGGGCAGAGTAATTTAAACCCACAAGTACTATTTTTAGCACCCGTGAAAGTACATGGACAAGACTAAGTTTAGTGCTTTCATGGTAGTATAATGCAAACAGTCTTCCAGGTTCTTGGCTCTGTTCCTTGCTTTCATCAGGAGGTGGAAAAGAAAAGGAACAATTCAAGGTGACCCATGTTATTACTAAGCCCCTGTTAAAATTTCCTCCCGTTGCCTTTAGGGGGAGCTATGTAGTGAGTAAGCGTCATGTGGAGGAAGCTATCGGTGTGAGCCTTAGTATCTGAATACTTTCATTTTGTTTCCTAAAGAAATAAATCTTGTACAGGTCTGCTATCTTTTTCTTATCAGTCTTTTAGAGCCCAACACCTGCCTTCCCTCCCTCAATTTTTGAAGCTCTTGGCCAATTTGAGAAAGGGGTACTAAAGACAAGAAATCGCTGCAAGGTTTATGAAACTAGTTGGCCAGAGTATGATATCTCTAATGAGGGAAAAGCCTGTGATTATCTCTTTCTTAGATGTCTAAGAAGCCACAGGGGCATTCAGCTGAAAAAGCAGCTGGCAGGAGGCGAGGCTTTCTTGTTGCTGCTACTTGTGCAGGTACTTTTTCCAGCAGCTGAATCTGATTTTATGGCTTGCTTGAGAGTTCCTGAGACTCACTAATGTTAAAACAGAGTTAGCACAGCAATAACACTTGAAAGTTAAAAAGCTGCACTGAATGGAAACTAAATAACTTGTCCATCTTTTTGCTTTTTATCCAAGTACATTGTACTCTGTGCAGGTGATTGAGTGAAATTAAAAAAGGTGTCTTTTAAATAATTAACATTGAATTAATGGTCTTACCTGTCTACTTGGCAACCAAGAACAAGAGCATCTTAAAATTGCTAGGATGAAAATTCATGTGAAACATGTATCAAAAACTAATGTTTTGTTAGCTTTTGATCAGCAGCCTAATTCTTTAGTAACATCCCCCGTGCCTATAAAATACAATTTTAGCATAAACTTAAATGGATTTAATTATGATTCACATATATTTACTGATGTTCAACGAAATTGTACATCTCTGGCTGTGAACATTCAATGTGAAGTTCAGCAAAGCCATCCAGTCTTGGGAGTGCAGAAGTTAGCGATGTTGCTTTAAAAGCTCTTTCAAAATTTCCTAGAAATAAGCTGCTTCGAGGACTTGAGGTTGGGGGTTTTTTTCAGTTGTCTCTTTATTTTTTTCCTTTCAGGAGCAAGAGCTTAGTGCTCGAACACAAGCACTTCAAGCTGCCTCAGCCTCATGCTCTTTCCGACCCAATGGATTTGATGACAACGACCCCCCGGGAAGTTGTGGACCCACAGGTGGAGGAGGAGGGGGTGGGTTCAGTACTGTTGGTAGATTAGTCTTTTGACTACGAAGACAACCTGGAATACACTGGTTCCAAAGCAGCCCAGTACTGCTGAGGACAACTAAAATATTGAACTTTGTCAGATATTGTACCAAGTTTTGAGACTTGATCCTTGTTCAAAAGCAAATGTTGGGGTTTTTTTGGTTATGTTTTATTTGAAATAAATAAGCGCATAATGGAAAAAAACTACCTCTTAAAAATTCAGTTGCTTTTATAGTAAGATATGCTTGCCCAAAAGACAGAAAATGGATTTTTAAGTAGTTGCTAATGATACTGCATTAAACTGAACAAACGCACTTACATCAGTTTCTATTGTCCTCATCCGCTGAATGAAGAAAGTTCATTTTTTACTCTGACGGTATTGCTTCATGTGGAAATCCTTTCAGATGGGCTAAACTGCATACATAGTCCCTCACCCCCACCTTAATTTCAAATCCAGTACCTTTATGGATTTCCAGAAATGATGCAATTTATAATGAAGGCAATAACTTAAATGTGACATGACACAGTACTTTCCAGATTAAAATTTATTCAATATATTTCCACTGTAAATGTAAAGAAGAAAAAAATAATTTATAAGTATTTGCTAAGTTGTTTTCCAAAAAAGTGCATGTTCTGTAGGAACAATGTTTTTAAATAGAAGTTGTTAACTTTGTAGCATTTCTAATTGTTTTGAGGATTTTAAAATTATTTCAGGGAATATATCTGCTGTGTATTGGAAAGGAAGACATTCTGTATGTGCCTTGCAGTACTGTAACTTAAAACAAACTTTCCGAGGCTGCAGAAAAGGGGAAAAATGTGTTAGTAGTCAACTATTTTTTGTCAATATTGGAAATTAAGACCTTTATAGAAAGCTATTAGGTTTCCAGATGTAAAAAATCTGGTAGTTTGAAATGCATTGTGTTGCCCATTATCTTTTGATTTAAAAAAATACATACCTAGTGATTGATAACTTTCATGGCCTGCATTGCTGAGAAAAGCTGGTCATAAATACTGAACTATGTTTGTGAAATCATAGAGAGGCTACCTGTATCGATCCTTGCTGAGGATCTGTGCTTCTAAGACTCCCTTGAAGTTTTGCCTTCTGATTTTGCTTGTAGTGAGAAATTTCAGCTGCCTGCGGAAGACCAGTATGATACTGCCTGATGGAGTAGTGTTTGCTTGCTGGTTAGGCCAGCAGAGGTTGAGGATCCACACTTTTAGTCTTGGCAGAAATAGCGACTTTGGTTTTGATGTGCAATGAGGATAACAGAAGTAAAGGAGTTATACTGTTGAATCTGGTGATTGATTCTTGACTTGAATAATCTTGTAGTGAAGTGTAAATTTATTTAAAGTATTTTTACAAAATTCTGCACTGTTTTACTGTGGTTTTATATTTTACTAGGTGACAAAGTGCATCCTTAAAAAGCATGCAAACCTGGCAGGTGTTAGCTTAACTGTACAAAATAAATTTCTTAGAAAATGCCTTTAAAAAGCATAAAATAAGTTGAGGTAATTAAACCTTGTTCATATTATATCAAATATATGGAGTTTAGTCTGAAAGGTAACTTAGCTTGCAAGCTATTTTTATATTATCACTGAAACTGTTTGCTCTGCTATAGGTTCATATGTTACTGCTCGAGAAAGCTCTAGAGCAGCTCATTTTCATTTTTCAGTAGTTTCCAAGATCTGTTTTGACCATTTGTAGTACCTTGGCTTTGACCTACCCTTTCATTGCTATCTCAGTTGTAGGTCTCTGAACCAGGGGTTTGGCTGTGGAGATGTGGAATGCTATGAGACGCGTGTGAGGAACGTTCTCGTTTTGTTGTGCTTGGACAAGGTTTTCTTGAAAGCTCACTTCGCCTTGAAATTCTGTAGCTTTCAGTCTGAGAGGGTTTTTTATTTCCTTTTAGGCTTCTCTACCAGTTAGCTCGGGTTTGAAAATGTTTTGTATGACAGGTTGATTTGGCTTTTCTCTCCCAAATTATGAGGACACACTAAAAAGCTGTCTACTGTTTGCATTACAATGGGAGTATTTTGTGTCTCTGTATCAATTTACTGTTCATTTTAAAACACTACTAAGTAGAAGCAGGGGGAAGTGTTTTTACTCTCTATAAAATCATAATTTTGTAAAGGTCAGTTTTTATGTTTTCACAGTAAAAATACAAATTATATATAAAATCATAATTTTGTAAAGGTCAGTTTTGTTTTTATGTTTTCACAGTAAAAATACAAATTATGTAGCCTACCTAAAAATAATGTGCAGTGTGAGTTTTGTATACTTATTGTTCTATATTTATTTCATGAGCTCTTAGAAGGCTTTCTACACCCTTGTTTGCCTGTTCTAAATTAGGTGTTAAATATGGAAATTTTATGAGAGTAATGCCAATAGGGTTGGATCTCCTTAGGTATAAAATGATGGTATGTCTCAAATGGAAAATAACTTCTTTGTTTCCCCTTGTTGACTTCTGTTGACGCAGTTACTTTGGGCTTTACAAATGGATTTTAAAATTCAGAATACCTATTTGCAAGTCTGCTTGCTGACCTGAAAACCATCATAGGCCGATTCATACCTTACTTGGAAGGTTTCAATAAAACTAGTGAAAGTGGAGAAGTATTTCACACTCTAAAATGTACACCTTTTTTCATTGTTTACAGTAATGGTGTTGCATGCTCCTATCTTCTGGACATAATGTGAGAGAACTATATATATATATATATGGTACTTCGATTTCTGTTACCTGTGAATGAATGCTGGGTGGCTTGTGTATTGACCTTTTTGGCTCCATTCTTAATTTCGAAGTTGTTTCCTTTCATGAAGGATACACTATTGTACTGAACTCAAGGGGATAGTATGTCTTTTAAATTCATATTTCTTTTTAACAAGATGCATTGTGTTTTGGTCTTTGTTTTAATGGTCAGTGGAGTTGTATTAACTTTCTTCCATACAGTTCATTTTGTACAGGTTTTTTCTTGTGGAGCATTACAGTGGACTGCTGTGAATGTCACCCCTAACGAGTGATTACAATATCTACAAGCCCATCTATCCAGGATGAGGAGGGAAAAGGCTTCTTTAGCTAAGTAAAGAAATCACACCTTCTGGCTAGCTCTCTTTTCTTCCTTTTTTTTCCCCCCTCCTTGTTCCCTACTCTGGAAAGTTAAATATTTTATCTTCTGTATGCTCTGGAAGTTTAATTTCATGGGTAGGCCTTTTTTTTTTTTTATCTGTAGCAGGAAGGTTGTTTATAGAGTCGGAATACTGCTTTTTTTTTTTTTTTTGTATGAATGATAGGCAAAGGGCATAAGCACTGTGAGCTAAAGGAGTGTTAGAACAAAAGCAAGTGGATATAAACTTTCTGTAAGTAAGATTTAGATTAGAAGCCAAGTTCCTAATTACTAGAACTAATTCTGGAACAGCCTTCCAGGCAGAGACCTGCTTTGAAGGAAGAGCCAAGCGTATCTATGAAGGACATAAAATGCAAAGTGGTGTCTCAGTAGTAGGCAACTAGACTTGATAAACCAGAGGTCCCTTCTAGTCCCTTGCTAGAGTTTTGCACTTCTGTTGGGCTTCCTGTCTTGACACATTGCTAGTTTTGTGTAAACAAAAGGAATACTATACTACCCCATAACAGCAGCAAAGGTTTACTGCTCAGTTTTGGGTAGTGTTGGTCTCTGATTTAGGGGAGCAAGGCATAAAAATTAAGTGATGGAAAGTAGAAGCCGGGATGACTTGTGGTCCAGAGAAATGTGCTCAGTTTCTAACACAAGGGCAATTCCCTGGTTAACAACCTACTTTGTGATGTAAAGCGCTTGATGTCCTCAGTAGGCTGTAATCAAATGTAAATTACTGGATTTTTTTTCTATGGGTGAGCAAAATGATCTATGATCTAAACAGGATCAGAATAGATGATGTTAAAAACTTTCATGTTCCCTACAGCCAGTTGTTGTAGGTCTACCTTAATTCGAATTCGTAGCAATGAGTAATATGCTCTTAAATCACATAGGTGTCAGGTTAAATGTAACAGTTGAGAACCAAAAATTGTGTGACACTTCGGCTTGTGTACAAGCCTATGTTCTGCGTGGGCTTAAGAGCTAGTGAGTGTCCCTGGTTCAGCAAGTGGGTTGAAGAGACTTGGCCTGTGAGTTGAGCTGTGGCTGTGATCAGATGCGGGCTGTGATATGTGGTGTAGCGTTGGCTTACCACGCATGCTTTTTATTTTTTTAAATGCACACACATGCCCCCATTCACTATGAGTCTTGCTTTTGCTTGAATGAAAGTATCCAGATAAAAGGGAAAACAACTTAAAACCAGCGAGAGTGAAGCAGATATGAAGGTTTTTAAATACAGTGTGCTGCTTTCTTATTTAAAAAAGAAGTAATTTTTTCTGGATTCTTGGCATGTATGTGGATTCAGGATACACATTTCTTGTTCCTTTTTTTTCTCCAGTGTGGATAATATTTTTAGGAATCAGTTGTAGAAGTGCTGGAGTAGGCATGTCAAAATGCACAATCTGCCACTGCCACCTTGGTAAGCAGCATGCTACCACATGCACTGAAATGCTGGGATACCTGCTGGCTGGCTTTCCCAGATGTTGACTGGGAAGAGCAGCTGCCACCTGTGAATTGTGCCTTGCTGGGTGGCCATTTGGGACCTTCACCATCCTCTGCACATCTGGGTGGCCAGAGGCAGCCACCCTGGGGTGCTGCTTCAGCACATGTCTCTGCAGCAGGGGCCGCAAGAGAAGTCTGGTGTGCTTGCTCAAGTGGGGCGTAGTCCCCAGCCCCCTTAGAGACACCCAGGGTAGCTCAGGGGCCCCTTGCAGCACTGACGGGGACTGGCACCTGTGGCATGCAGAGGTTGGGTGGTCACACATGGAGTTAGAGTGTGGGAAGGAAGGGCAGGGAGGCAGTGAAGAAGTGCTGGTGCAAGACTAAAATGAGACTGCTGAACTGCAAAAAGGAAAGGATGGGTCTGATCTGATTTAGAAGTTGTGTATGTTCTAATGATAATTTCACATGTATCTGCTGAAGTTGTAACTTTAGTGTAATTCCACCAAAGGATACTCTGTCAACAATGCTTTGTTATCCAAGCCTAATCCTTCTAAAATTTCCATTATATCAGTGTACTTGAGGGGGGAAAACCCCCTGTCAGTAAACATATTTTCAAATATGCTGCTGAGGAAAGTATTTCAGATTAAAAAATGAATTCAGCAACAGGATATGTGCTTGGGCTAGCAGCTGTAGTATCATACAGCATCCTCGAGGCCAGTGGCCTCCAAACTTTTTTTGACTGCATGCCCCTATCAGTAAAAACTTAAGTGTGCACCCAATATGTGTATATTTATTTATTTATAACCTATATATGTACTACTGTCCTAATATATTATGTACATACACAAGAGTAGAAATTGAAAAAGTATGAGATAAAGATTAAATAAATGCTATTTTTATTTAAAATTTTGTTTATTAATGGTACAAAAAATAGTTTTCTTCTTGCATACACCCTGGGGTGCACGCACCTCACTTTGGAGACCACTTCTCTGGGCTATAGTCTTGTAAAGAGTTTTTTAACTTGATTGGAACAGGTATGAGAATTGACCTGTTCATAATAATGGTTCCTTTTACTCGGCGAATATAGACTGTTGTCATTACTTTATGCTGCATGACCACGTTTTGGATCTGTGTTTATTCTGAGTTCTTATAAAATTTCATGCAAGGGCTGTGAACTGTTTCACCATTTGTTTTACTACAGTGTGCATTAAATGACAAAAAAGAAGTGTCAGCCTTCAGTGGTTTGCGGAGATGCAAAGCAAAAATCCCCAGTTCTGAGGGGAGGGCATATCCCTTGCCAAATGGAGGAATGTGTTAGTACTTGGCTTTAAAGGTCTGTGCGGTTTTTCAACTGACTCACCCTTTCTCAAGTGTTCTCTAAAGAATTAGAATACTTAGTACTGTATTCCTTAAAAGAAAGTTATTTAATTTTCCTGCTGTGTCTTTCATGGTGTTTTTTCTATTGAACTACAGTTGAAACCACTTTGGCAGTATTCCTGTTCTTAAATCTTGCTGTTGTAAACTGGCATAAATGTTTAATAGTATTTCATATTGGTTTTTAAAAATGGATGGGGCAAATGAGTGCTTTACTGTACACGTGTTGGGCTGCATAAAGAAGTCAAAATATATATTTTTAAAGGCCTCAGAAGGTGTCTGACAGTACCGAAGTTTTTATGTGTTTGACTTGAATTGAAAGGCAAATATTCTAGTAAAATATAACAGTGGTAGGTTGGGTGGGTTTGGGATTTTTTTGGAATTGTAAATTATATTTGTAAATCTCACCTTGAAGGATCTCGCACAAAAACATGGAAAAATAAGTCAGAGCAGAGAACTCTTAATGGGCCAACTAGATCTGGAGGACCAAGTGTAGGCAATAGTTGAATTTCGTGTGTATTTCAGTTGCAGTGATATGTCAATGTTTCATTTGAGTTGTCTTCTCAATTGGTGTTACTTAAATCTTCCAGGAAGATGAAATGACCTTCAACTTGTTGAACTAATAAAGAACATCATCATTGTTTAAAATGCAGCAGTTCTCAATGAACGTGGAAGTTATGGCACAGAACCGTTCAGGCCTCCTTTACATAAAGACAAGGTTTTCGAAGGCTGGTTTCAACCTTTGTGTATTTCTCCTCAAATTTCCCCAGACTACAAGTTGAAAGGAGGTTTTTGGGTTTGATTGTTTCTCTTATCTACCAGAATATGTAGGAAACTCAAACAATTAACAGGCCAGTTAATAATCTGTAAATTACTCCTGCATGGTGAATTGTGTGAGAGGGAAGGGAAAGGCTTGGGTTGCCCTTAGAATGTGTAGTTTGAAGTTGAGTCTCCTCTAGTTGGCTGCCCACACCTCCCTCTGGCATTAGAAACAGCTGCCTTTATGTGGTCTCAGGATTAAGCTTGGTACTGCCTGTGAGGATAAAATCGTGGGAACCTCCCCTTCATCCAGGATGTATTCAGGCTAATTGAAGAATTATTTTTGACCTGAGCTGTTTTGGTTTTGCTTTAAGTAACTTGAACCTAACTGCCAAGGTAAAGGACAGATCAAGCTTTAACATAGTAAAGGACCTAATCATAATTTAAAAAAAATAAATGACTTGGCTCCAGTAGGAGCTGCTGGTTCTCTGCTGTGCTTTAAAATCCCAGGGCTGCAAGAGGTGTTTCCTACTGATGAGACCATGAAAACAGCAGCTTCGCAAAATTAATTGGGGAAGGGAATTGGCTGCAGTATAAACAAGCAACTAGGTGGATGATTTCATCATTTGGTTTTGTCTGCTGTATTTTGAATTTGGGGATTGATGTGAATGAAGACGTGTGTGGGTATAGTAAGCGATATGAATCTGAGGACATGGAATAGGAAGCAAACCGGCCTCAAGTACTTAAAAGAAGTTACTAACATTTCTGCGGAAGAAGGATAGGTTCCTGGAATGCAATGCTAGGTAGTGTCTGTGTGATCTTGCATGGCAGCCTACAAGAGTCCTGCTGCTCCCATGCTTTCACAGGGTGTGTTAAGGTGGAAGGCATGTATAGGGAGACTGAGATGTTATTGGTACACTAGGCCTGAAATGCACCCTCTGTTCATAGACCACAGACTTAAGTGTAGTCATAGATGAAGAGCATTTCCTTTCATTGCAGGTATGGAGGAGCAGAGTATTTTTTTTTCTGAAACTTCTCATTTTTCTGGGAGCAAATTAATATGGAGTTTGTACATTGTGGTCAATATTTTTTCTCCACTTGTGAATACATAGCATAAGCCAGAAGTTGGGAGGAACTTCAAGGGAGTAAGTTTGTAACTGCTTATTTGACAAGACTGCTTTTAAATTCTTAAGTCAGCTCATCTCCATCTTACTTGGTCTCCTTTGGTGCTAAGGATGTTCTGAGTGAGAGAGACCAGGATGAACTATAGAGTAGCAGCTCTTTCACATTCCCCAGCTCACATTCTGGGAATGGGCATGAATGTTCAGCTTTGGAGAGGATTTGATGAAAGGAAAACAACCAGAGGATTTTAAAAAAGGGGAGGGAGATACTGGAAAGAAACGTGAGCAAGAGCTTCGGAGTGGGGTGGGGGGGTATGCAAAGCTGTGGATTTCCTACTCTTTGAGACCAGGGAGAAGATGTTTAAGCAAAACCTTACCAACTTCATGTCATGTGCATATATAGAATGTATCATGGAAGAAAAAATATGGCAAAAAGTATAGCAATCGTTGGTCAATGTAATTGTGACCTACTTGTGTTTTCATTGTTATCTGAGCTAAACTAATGCCCAGCCTCCTATCCACCTGCATTGTATTCAAGCAAATTTTTTTGGATAGAAGTAAATATTTTGGATTTTGTCTTTTTAACTTAATCTCCTTTGGATACAGCTATTAATTTTTTCCCAATAATTCTTTTGCCTGAATATTCTCCCTCCCTGCTTTTTTAAAGGTGATGCACTAGTGTGTGTGGGGGGGTTGTATAATAAGAATAAGTCCAATCTGATGGGATAGGTATTTTATTTTAGGTCATTCATAGCCTCATCCCTGAAACCTCCTTAACCCCAGATTTTTTTAGGATAGATGTTCTCCTTCAGATCACTGGGACTCAGCAAGATTTATTTACTCTTTACTCCCCTCCAACTTTAAGTGCCCTCATGAAAAACTGAGGGGATGCAGCCAGATACTCAGTGGGTAAGAGAAACTGCAGTATCACTAAGCAGGGAAAATGGTAATTTGGACAGCTTTCTCAGCAGCTCTGTGTGTGGTAGTGGTTTTCACCAGTTCTGCCCTATCCATTTGGCAACTCTTATCTCTCTTATCTTGCTCTCCCCTAAACAAATTCAGTGGAATAAATGATCATGATACTTACGGAATGTTTTGTGCTGTGGCTTCATCGATGTTGTGGTGGTTTCCCTCCTCACATCCACTCTCCCCCTCCTCATGTCCCTTGCAGCTGCATTGTCAACTCTGATGCTGACCTCTCCAGGACACAGACTATATCTTCTACACTGCATGCCTGTCAGTACAGGGCTGTTTGTAATGGTGGTTTTTTTCGTGGTTAATTTTTAAATGCTACTGTGATAAAATCAATTCCTAGATGTGTCAAACATGGGATAACAAAAATGCAATTTAAAAACTTAAAATGAACTGTTGTGTGTACATGACCTAGTGCGACTTTCTGTAAAGCCTCTGTTTTGCATGTGAAAATTCAGGCAAGTAGCAATTACAGTAAGAAGTTTTGTGTTTCTTCAACCCTTTAAGAACTCCTGCTAAGGAATCTATATGCCCACTGGTAGAAGGAAGTAGTATAGTGGTAGGTAGCTTCAGGTGTCTGTAGGGAATTGCGTTATGAAGAGGTTCTCACAAAGGCCTATCACTATTCATTTTTATGCAAAGGCTTGTGGTTGCAGGTGCTTGAACCATCAACACTTCGATACCAAATTGGGCATTTTTATGTTTGGCTCTGAATAATGCTGGACTTACAGGGCAGCACAACCATTCTGCTGGTGATGGGGCTTGGTGATTCAGTGTTGGCTGGAGGGAATGGCAAATTATGGTGCTCTCCACTCAGATGAAGCCATGGGCACTGGTGGTGATGGTCGGGGGTAACAGAAATGTTGACTTAGTTTTCTTCACCTGGAAGTCAGAGTGAACTAAGTGACACCACTTAGTCTGACTGCCAAGTAGAAGCTTGCCCTGTATTTGCAGGGTATGAAAAGTGATGAAGATTGTGTGACTTCCAAATGCATTACTACTTTTGAGGGCAGAGGAATCTCTGAAATTAAATTTTACAGTTGTTAGCTGTAAATTAATCTGTGCATATGGATATGGGAAGGAATATTTCTGATTAAAACTATCCTGACTCAAGTATTCCTGTATAGTCTTGCTTGTTTTTTCTCTAACTGACCTACTTCAGACATCAGAGTTGCAACTTCAGCTGTGTTTTGTTTTCAGGGACTTCTGTACATCCTTTGCATCTCGATGTAAGGTTTTAACTTGCTTTGAGTAACATAAGCTTTTATAAATACAGTGCAAGTATTATAATTTAAATACAAGTTGTTTAACACCACTTTGTTACTGAGGTCCCTGACGTGCTGTATTAATTCTGGAGTAATTATGTGTATATCCAGTAGAGAGCACTAATGACACTGCTATCTTTTAGTTGACATTCCCATCAAATTATTCAGTGTTGTCTTACGATTTTGAGCTATGGAGCACTGGGCTGGGACTGTATGTTTTTCTCTGAATTGGTGCATGGCCGAAGCTCTGAAAAAAGGGGGGGGAGGGAGGAGGAGAATGTAAAGCAGGAGCCCACAGGAGATGCTAAACTAACACTTGCCCACAGTTTGGAGTCACAGCAATAGTCCGGTCTCTCCTTTGCATTGAATAGCTAAGCTAAGGCCATTAATGTGGCAGCTGATCAGCATCCCTCTTGGAGCAGCTAGTACCAGGACTGGCAGGATAAATGGCTGACTGCTGGTGCTGTGGGTATCTTAAATGTCTCGGGGAAGTCAATGGTATAACCAAGATGGTTCCTGCTTCTTGTGCATACGCAAAATCTTATCAGCAGAGGCTAAAAAAGCATTTTTATTAATAATCTTTTTGTGTCTGCTTTTGCTTCAGAGCCAAGACAGCTAAGCTGAACATGAGAGAATTTACTGAAGCTGAAATTCCTCATGAGTCCTCATGGATGAGGTAGCATGAGTGAGAAAGATTAACTTGTCTTTGAGGCGTCAAATGGAGTTTGTGGCCAGTGGTTTAAAAATAACCATTCCTTTACTCACTTGGTGAGACAGTTAGATGGAGCCAATGAGAAAATATAAACAGACCCATAAAAAAAAGTTTCAAAATAACTTTGGGAGAATATCTCAAATTTGTGTCCTGGGTAAAAGGTCTCTCACCATGCTGCCCAGCAGTCCAACTGCATCTGCTCATTCTAGCTCGGTGAACTGTTAGCCTTACTTCAGGAGCATGAAGATGCTGCCTGTAGAAGAAAAAGGTGTTTTAATTCTCCCTTAGGGTTATAGAAGAATTTTAATAATGTGACCTGGGTAAATTAATCTTCCTAAATATACAGGCAATCTAAACCAATCACGCTGAGAGAAGTGTGAGTTATAGTAATTCATCTCAGTCTTGGATTAATTTAAGAATAACTGTCTGGAGGCAATATCTTTATTACATTATTTGTAAGGACCTAAAGAAAAAAAAATCAGCCACACTATGAAGCTGAGCATGAACTTGTAGTACTACCTCTAGGCTTATTGTATTAGCTGATGTTTGGTTTGAATTCAGTTTAGGAGACCGCAGTATTATCTCAGGAACAACTCCCAATTTTTATCCTTGCCTCTTTACTTCTAATACAAAAGATTCTATTCAACATGTGGGGGAAAAGATCTAAGCATGAGTGAGATAATGTTTATCTAAATAAACTATGTGACTTACAGTATTAAAAAAAATAGTATCTTTCTATGTTTAAAAGTCCAATTGGTGTGGAAAATCTGCTTGCTTGGAGGAGAATGTTTATTGGTTAGAAGAATTTTAGGTTTTCCTAAGTGAAAATGGGTACTTTTAAGAGAGCAGTCATAGTTGTTGCTGGAAGATAGATGAAGTTTGTGTATTGGTTTTTGATAAAATGAATGCAATTAATTAATGCAGCTATCACATCAGTTAATTCTTTTTTGCTTTTAATTGCGCTTGTCAATTGGTCCTAAAATCTACCATCTGGTAACAATCTGCATTAAAATACTGGCCTGCCTGAAATTAATGGGATTCTTGCCATGGACTTCAGCAGGTCCAGGATTTCACTCGGCTCTTCATCTTGCATGACTATTGCTATTCCAGGGTGTGGCAAATATACTATATTCTGCATCCTGATTTATGTGAGCATTTGCTGAGCAGATGTTGGGGAGTTAAACTTGTTCATCTCAGTCCATCTTTCCTACAGCAAGTGAAGAAGTGCTCAGATCAGTCTCAGGTGTGATTCTGTTCACTTGGGATGCTTACAGTGGTTACTATATCTGATGAGGAAGAAACATCGTGCTGGATTTTAAAAATGCAGCTATAAGCTAAAGAAGGATTTATTACTTCTGCTGTTGTGAGCGAGCTGACCAAGCCAACACTGCTGCTATGTGCAAGTGGCGAGGGAGGGGGTGAGCGGCGGCACGGCTTAAAAGAGAATGGGGGCCAGGCGGGTGCTCTGGGCTTCTAGTTCAGCTGCTGATGTGGTGTGCTTCCTTCTGCAGATCATCACCTCTCCCTGAAGTGGGGTCACCACCTAGGCACCTGTGGCGAGGGAGAGTACCTTTATATGTACAAAGCACTTGAGTTCCCATTTCCCAGGATAAGCATTGGTCTAAAGATACAAAGTAAGATTAGTCCTTACTGATTAGCTTAAAAGAACAATAAGAAAGTACTCTCTTGCCAACCTCTTTTCAGTTGCAAAATACCTTGTGCACTTCATCAGTTCAATAACCTTGTATGGGGGGAGGGTGTTTGTCAAAAACCCAGTTTACAATGAAGATAAAATAAGAACGCATAACTGGCATATCTTAGCCAGAACCCACTGTGGGAGTCACTCCCACAGTTATGTCTGGTGCTCGCCAACTCCTACTGAGCCTGGTATTTTCCCATTGCATTGTTTTTACTGATAGCTTCCATTCAATAATAACAGAAATCTTTGCAAGGGTGAAAGAGATTAATGCTCTTGATAATTGAGTAAAGAAGTGTTAAGTGTTTTCCACAGCCACTGAAGAATGTGTAACCTATATGATAAAGTAATCTCGTGATTTTTATCTCTGCTCTTTACTGAAAACAGTTGGTGAGCATTTTATCCCATGTTCAGATATAAAATAAGATCTTTCCTCATTTGAATCTCTTTTGGGGAAGAGCAGTAAATGACGGAGGAAGGCTGCCAGAGATAATTACTAAAATGACCAGCTCATATATATAGTCAGATGACAAAGCTGTACAGGGTTTTGTGTCGCAGAACACGGACTAAGTTTTTATGAGCAGTAATAGCAAGGAAATAAAGCAGTCATAACAGAATAAGATAATATCGTTTTTACCTCGTGTCTTCCCAAGGAAGACTAATGTGTGGCAAAAACTGTTTAAATACTGTTGCTGTTTGACTGGGAACTCCTGATATAACAGCAGTGGACAAAAGCTGAGCTTGATTTCTTGCCGGAAAAGAAGAGTGTGCTTGAGAACTTGCCTGCTCTGTAACATCCCCCACTGCAGAGGGATGTTGTCAGCCTCCGGCATTCAGACCCTTTAGACCCCCACTGCTCTGTGAGTGAAGAAGAGCCACGATAATAAATGTTTCCATCTGCTTCTGGTTAGGAGTTTGTGTCTCATCCTATCCTCCACAGTGATCCATGCACTTGAGACAGCCAGGCATGATTATTTCCATTAGCAAGAACCAAGATCACACCCTGAAAAGCCCCATCTGGTCCAAACCTGCTGTAGATTGCCTGCTGAGCAGTGCGGGTCACTATAAGATCATCACACTGATGTCCCATATGCTGATGAGGTCCTCTTCCCATACATTGGCTGTCTTGCTGTTCCCAGCCCTCTGCGGAATTAGCCCCGGCAGTCAGAGATGGTTGTCCTTTTGTCTGTATGGCTTTCTGCAGCCCATGTGTTTCACTGTGGCCACAGACCTGTGAAGTAAATGTGGAGAATTTGAATGTACGAGCCAGAATTCATGTGCATTGGACCTTGGCTTTGGAGCTGTGTGTCAAAAGAGGTACAAGAGTGACCACAGGCTCTGAACATTTGGCATTATCCTGGTTTTGGCTGGGATAGAGTTAATTTTCTTCCTAGTAGCTGGCATAGGGCTGTGTTTTGGATTTAGGATGAGAATCATGTTGCTAACACCTGAATGTTTTAGTTGTTGCTGAGCAGTGTTTACACTAAGTCAAGGACTCTTCAGCTTCCCACACTCTGCCAGGTGCAGAAGAAGCTGGGAGGGGGCACAGCTGGGACAGCTGACCCCAACTGGCCATGGGGCCATTCCAGACCATGGGACATCATGTAGAAACTGGGGGGAGTTGGCCGGGGAGGGGGGCCAGAATTTGCTGCTTGGGGACAGGTTGGGCATCGGTCAGCAGGTGGTGAACAATTGCATTGTGTGTCACTTGTTTTGTATATTCTTTATTATTATTATTATTTATTAGTTTACTTCATTTCAATTATTAAAGTGTTCGTATCTCAACTCACAAGTTTTCTCACTTTCACTCTTCTGATTCTCTCCCCCTCCACACTGCAGGGGGAGAGTGGGCCAGGGGCTGTGTGGTGCTTAGTTGCTTGGCTGGGGTTAAACCATGACAGGCATGAAGCATTTGACTCCTCCGGTGAGCTTTCCTCGGTTGCCCTGCTTCTGTTTCCCTCCCCTCCAGCCCAGTCATCCAAGTCAGGTAATTTACGCCTACCTACTGGAAGGAAGGAAGGAGAGGTGATTGATGGTGTTGTTTTTAGCTCTTGCAAGGTGCTCCGAGGCTGCTGTGATGACTGCCAAGTGAGAACCTAAGCCTATAAACACCTGCAAATCTTGGTCATGCCTCAACCATTTGTGAATTCTCTGGGAAGATTAAACACGTGGGAATAAAGCTTCATACTACATCATCTCATTCCTGAGTCTACTTAATATTTGATTAATGCAGAGATAGGAAGTCGGTGAATGTTCCGTTTAATAAGCACTTTCAAATTTGGGGCTGAAATATGCAGTTTACATAGAAAGTAGTTTGATTTTTGGGGGAGTGCCTCATCAGCTCTTTGTAAACTCTGCAGAGCAGGGACCACGTGTACAGCAGTGTCTGGCCAATACAACTTTATGCATAGTTTTTAGATCTTAATTTTCTGTGCATAAAACCATGTTATTGGCAAAATTAGTACTAAATAGTAGTTCATAGCCTTGTAGGTTTTTTGTTGTTGCTGTTGAAACTACTGTGTTGTGGTTTTTAAATGGAAAAAGTCACTCAGGCTAGCATGCCAGTACTTGTATTAAGTTGTCTAAATTCCAAAGTGTATCTTTTGGTATGTTCCTGAGTCCCCCCTCTCTTCCAAATGATCTCTTAAGAGTCTGTAGAAGCTATTTTTCCTCAGTCTTTATCTGTACTCTGCCTCTTTCTGTCATGTATCTTTAGAAATAAGCTGTAAGGAGTGGGGTTTGCACACCTTCTGTTTCAGAAGACGCAAGCTCATCAACATATGAAAAAACCTAATTCTTTTGTTGTCTTAAAGATCCGCATACTACAAGTAGAATTTTAATGTTTTTAAGATGTGTAATAGGTAAGAGACTTAATACAATGCCCAACCCTTTCTGCAGATGAGCATTGGCCAGCACAGCCAAGACATGTGAAGAACTACTTATGTGCAGAAACTAACTAGACTAACTCAAATGAGAAATCAGACTAATTGATACTTTTAACTATTCTTAAGCCCACGAATGTGTCCTAGAGTCTGAAGATAAAGTTTCATGGGTGGATGAGCCAAATACGCAACGGGCAGCTATCAGAAGGGATAGATATCATCCTAGCCTCTCCTCTTACCTTGAGCTGGCTTTGGTGTTTGTGACTGAATTTAAATCCATTTAAAGCACTTCAAATGCCTTTCTGTTCTGCTGAATGTTCCCACAGATATTCTGGCTTGCTTTCAAAACAGTGTGGGGTGTTTTGGATTTTTTAATTGTTGTTTTTCGTTGGGATTTTTGTAAGTTCTGCCGGGATAGTAAATTGAATAAACCCACTTTGCAACTGGACGAGTGCTGGTGTCAGCACAAGGGAGGGGGTGACCTGCACTGCTGAGGGGTGAAGGGAACAGGTTGAGAAGAGGGTATTGCAGAATGGGCGAGGGAAGCCTTCCATTTCTAGAAGGGCTGGTATGTTAACTTGGCTCGGTTTTATCATGGTGTTATGTACTTGGCCTACATGTATTATAGATGTCCCCTTCAGAAAGCTAAGGGAGTGCAAGAGAGTGGGGAGATGTCTTGCCTGTTAACTGAAGGATGCAAAATCCTGCTATCTAATTAATTCACTAAGGAGATATACGTATCTTTGTCTCATACTAATGTGTGAAGGTGTTAAAACTTGTATTAGCAGACAGAAGGCACCATAATAACAACATTAAGAATGGAGCTGACCTGCTCTTGATTTATTAATGGCACTAGTGGAATTTGAGCTGATTTATCAAGATGAGACTTTATCATGCTTAGTACTTCTACACAAATAGCCCATAAATCATTCATCAATTACATCTCATTGAAAGTTATGTTTTGTTGTATTTTTTCCTCAAACCCCTATAGGCATAGAAAATTGTTTTGATCTGTGTTCATATGTAATAAAGCTCTTTCTCCCTCCTCCTCTTACTGTATTTTGGTTGGGTTTGGTTTTTTTTTTTAAAGAATATACCAGACTTGTACCGCCAGTAGTATTAGTTTGAAAAGACATGAGTCTGTGATGCTCATACAGCATTACAAGGCTGCATGTGGGCAGTCGGACGTGCTTCGGGAAAGCTCAGCATCCTGGGTCGCTTGGGTCTTATTGTTGGTCAAAATGGTCATGGATGGAGGTTTTTCTGGATGTTTTCAGAGTAGGGGAATTCTGCACTTTAAAGATAAAAACGTGTGCCTCTAATGTTACTCTGTCTTGCTTTCCACCTGGAGTCCCAACAGTTACATTTTTCCCAGTGCTGTGAGTTCAGCAGTCCTCTTTCCGCTTGCTACCACTGGACCTGAGGGTTATTTTTATCTCACCTACTTGCAGGTAGCACACACTCCTTCCTCCACATACATGTTCCAGTACATCTGCCAGAAGCCATAGTCTTGATCTTCGGCTCTGATCTGAGGTACTTTCACCTATCCAACCAGGTCTACCATTTAACGTGTTTCTCAGGGCATGCTCTTTTAAAAGCATAGAGATGATGATGGTTTTACTCCTCCTTTGCAAAAAGTGC